AGTGGCCATATGTTAGGCAGGGAGGAGGGGGAGACACCATCAGGGGCCCTGTAAGTACAGGCTCCTCACTTCCCATGCAAGGCAATGTCCTTGGAGGCCACACGACAGCCGTACCTGTGTGCCTACTCCACAGACACCCCAGGACAGAAACAGCTTTCTGTGGAAAGCATGAGAACCCACCCCTCCTGCAAGTGCCACCTCCACCTGTCCCAACAGTTTCTGGGTGACCGAGCAGAGCCTAGTGTTCTCTATCCTGGCTGCCCAGGACAGCACACACCCCCACCTTCAAAATCCTTTGACCCTGATCATATCAGCCAAAGTAGCATCAGACCCAAAAAAGCTTCAGGAAATGCTGGGCCTGCAAATACCCTCAGGAACCTCAAGCCATCATGGCGCCCACGGCAGGGGCTCTGATGGGAAGACGGGATGCAATAGTTTCCTGAGATCAAAGCACTCCACCCTACAGGGAAGCTCTTTAAACAGGAAGGTAAGCAACTCAAAACAGCTTCAGGACTGAAACCCACCAGTTTCACCAGGCCCCTCCTCACCAGAGTGAGCAATAAAAGCTGCAAGTCATCTTCTCAGGAAGCTGAGCTGCCTGGAGGAGGCTCAGAGCAGCTGAGGCATCTGCAAAGGATGCTCTCCAGCCTGTTGTGGCCTGCAGGCTGTGCAGTGTGCTCCAGATGTCCAGCTCTGTGAGCTGTCACCCACGCTGGGGTGGCCTTGGGGGTGCAGTTGTCTCTCCTCACCCACAGGCCTGTCAGTGACCCCAGTAAAGCTCACGGTCCACCAAGTGGGACTTGGGTGGTGTCTGTACTCCGTCTGCTGTGGGCTCACTACCTGGTGAGTGGCCCTGAGTGCTGCACCTCCTCGGGAAAAGTCTTTCTGGTCACACAACTGGGGGAGACAGAAGGACTGAGCAGTGGGGACTCCCCAGTTTTAAGCCATATCCAGGGAGCAGTACCCACATGTATTAACTCCAGTGATGTAACAAGGACTCAAGTGACACTGACCCCCTGCTGGAGCTGGGGACAGAGGCATATGTGAAATCCTACTTTCTGGGGCCCATAGCATGGTGGAGAGAACCCAAATCAAACTCATACATGGTCTGTGTGTCCCCAAGGACACATGGGTACCATCCGTCCATGGTCAATTGCCAATGCAACAGATCTAGAGTACCCAGGAAGAGCTAACCTCAGAGAAAATGCTCCCACCAGACGGGCCTATAGAGTAGTGTTCTGATTATGATCAAAATGGGAGGGCCCAGCTCATGGGGGGGGCAGTGACCCTCGGCTGCTACTCCTGGGTTTTATAAGAAAGCAGGCTGAGCCAGGTGGTGGTGGTGCACAGCTTTAATCCCAGCATTCTGGAGGCAGAGCCAGGTGGGTCTCTATGAATTTGAGGCCAGGCTGGTCTACAGAGTGAGTTCCAGGTCAGGCTCCAAAGCTACACAGAGAAACCTTGTCTCAAAAACCAAAAAAGAAAAAAGAAAACAAAAAGAAAGAAAAGAAAAGAAAAGAAAAGAAGCAGCCTGAGCAAGCCAGTAAGCAGTACCCTCCATGGCCTCTGCATCAGCTCCTGCCCTGACTTCCCGCCATGATGGAGCGCCGCCGGAATGTATAAGCTGAGTCAGCTCTTCCAAGCTGCTTTGGGTCATGGTGTCTATTGCTGGACAGAGAACTAACTAAGGCCCCTCCCTGCCATGGAAGGGGTGACAGGGCCTCCCGCACCAAGACCAAGGCTGAGGCTTTGCCGGAGCTCTCTGTCCCCAAACAAGTGGCCATTGTGTTCACTACTAGCCTTGGTGTCCACCCCCAGCCATAGCAGGACACAGGGAGCTGGGGTGGCTGGACCTGCACCCACTGCATCATGGGTGACTGTTGGGACAGGTGGGCCAGCCAAGTCGCCCGAGGTACACTGCATGGATTCCTGCCACCGACAGTCATCCGTGAGCAGCTGTCATCTTTCAGGGAGCCCCAAGCCTCACAAGCTGCAGGGCCATGTGGCCATGCACAGACCAGCACCACCCTCAGACAGCACGATTCTCTGTCCTTGCAGAGGTGCTTCTCAATATTAGGGACATTCTACTCTCATACAGGCCCAGAGCTGGCCTACCAGCCTGCCTCTCTGGGGCTGGTTCCCACTTCACGGGCCACTCTGGTGGCTCCTGGCAGCTCTTGGGTCTCTCTGAAGCTAAGCAGTGGGTGCTGGCCAGGTCTCATTCTCACACTCTAACGCCAGGGGCTGGCCTGGTTTTTCTCTCTCTCTCTGTGTTCAGTTGAACTGTAGCTTCACCATGCAGCCCTGGCTGACCTGCAGCTATTATTCTTCACTCTTATTTTCCAAGGGAGAAAGTGGGGCTGTCTCCCCATCCCCGAGCACAACAGCAGAGGCAGGGAAGCCAGGGAACAGCCGCTTGTCAAAAAGGCGGGAATGCCACCTAGTGGCCACAAGAAGAGGGACTCGGGCTCAGGCCCTCTGTCCTAGCATATCCCAGTTACACACTCAGACCAAAACAAACCCACCTCACATGAGCATACAGGCCACTGCTGTGCACACATGGAGATTTGCAGCAGAAGCAGCCATGGACTATTTGTATCTGCGGTGTCATGAGCACTGCTGGACAATGCAGCCACGAAGAGCAGGCCACTGGCCCTTGTTACTGCCACAGCACTTCTCAGGGGATCCTAGTGGCCCAGGTGGCAGCTGCCACAGCTGGCTCCACACAGGTGGCAGCAGGGCACCATGGGAGAGTTCGCCTAGCTGGACAGGTGTACACAGAGGATGGTGTCACCAAAGGCCAGGAGTCACCCTGGGGGTTGAGGGTACAGCTAGGCTGCTCATGAGATGCCATTCAGCCCGACGCTGTCACACCAGGCTTCTGAACTCATAGAAATGTTGGTGCGCATAACTCAGACACCCCAGCAGGAGCCCACAGGACCAGTGTACCCGGCAGTGTTAACTGACAGGACAGGATCCAGAGCATGAGACGGGCCTTCAGGAGGCAAGACTCATCCTACTGTGGGTGGCACCATTCCCTGGGCTGGGATCCTGGATCAAATATAAGGAGAAGGAGCTGTACTAGCATCCATCTGGTCCCCTTCCTGTCATGTGCCAGCTGCCTCAGCACCTTCCCTGCAAGATAGTGGAGCCAAGGCAAACCCTTCTCGCTAGCTGCCTTTGTCAGAGGATTTTTGTTGCAACAGGAAAAGCAGCTGAAAGCCTTGGCTGGCAGAGTGCTGCCCACACACCCCTGACATTCTCCCAGCTCTGGAAAGTCACCTCCCAGATCACCAGTGTCACCGCAGAGTCCTGGGAGGGTGGCAGCATGGTCAGAGGCAGAGACTGGGATACTCCTTACAACCAATTCTGAAGGAGGAGAAGGGTCACGCCCCAGGCCAGGGAACACAGAGTCCCTGACACTGGGACAGCAGAGTGCAGGACTCCTTACGGCTGCAGGGAAGCAAGAAGTAGCAGACACATACTTCAGGGATTTCTCAGTCCTGACACTGTGAGGGAACAGTGCTGGGACCCACAAGGTATGAGAATGTCAGAATATTTGGGGTTCACGTTCCACCTGGCCTTGAACTCAGATATCTGACTGCCTCTGCCTCCCGAGTGCTGGGACTAAGGTATGTGCCACCACCACATGGCTGGGATTCACTTTCCTAAACAGCAAAGTTCAACCCAGCTTGGCCATCAGCCAGGAAGCTGTAGGCCAATGGCTGGTCCACATGGGGGGCATACATACCAACAAGGCTGTGCCCTCCAGGGAAGGAGAGCTGCCCAGAGCCAAGCATGAACTCCACTGGAGCAGGGAGGACTATGTGCCTAGGGTTTGAGTGCAGAGACACCCCAAAAAGAGGGTACTCTTGATGTGGCCCTCCACAGGCTCAGCACACAGCCCTGTCCACAACCGAGCAACATAGGGAAGGCCTGTTAGGGGCAATGTATTCCTATCACACCTGGGACATCAGGGGGTGCTGGACATTGGGAGGCAGAAGGACCTACTGTGTAATCACGAGGCTAAGAGGCACCAGAGCCCGAGTGTTCAGGAGGTCGCAGCCTCACCTAGGGAGACCTGAGCCACCTAAGAGCCACGCAATGGCCCCAGAGACAAAGCACCTGGTGGGAGCAACGGGGCTCGCTGCATCCTGAATTCTCAGCTGTGGGTGGGGAAGGCACCTCCACACACAAGCAGAGGCCCAGGGTGACGGCTAGTTGTCAACATCACAGATGCTACAACCACCAGGGAGAGTCTTAACAGGAATGTCTGGGTCATGTGTCCGAGAGATCTGAGCGTTTCATAGGTGTGGGAAAATGAAGCTGAACAAAATGGCAGCATCCCTGGATTGTGAGAGTAGGAGAAATGACCGAGCATGCAGCTCTGCTCCACGTGGGCGTGGCTCTACTTTCCTGAGTGACTGACTGTGGGCTGCAACAGGAGTCGACATGAGCCCAATCCCCCAAGTGGCTTTCCACAGTGACAGAAATGGCAGCAGGACAGCCAGCTACTGGGACCTGCCTTCAGTGGGGACCACAGACATCCTCCACCCTCAGCATTGCCCTCCCTACTCAGCATCACCAGGCGTGGGGGAGGGCATTCTTCCCGTCCACACTGTGCAACAAGGAAGCTGAGCCCAAGGGGAGATGGGAGCCTGGCCTGGGATAGGGCTCTGCCTGGCAGCCAAAGGGAGATGGAAAGAGAGAGAGAGAGATTGAAAGAGAGAAAGAGAGAAGAGGGCACTGTTGGCAAGCTGGCACCTCACACAGCCTCCAGGTCCAGCAGGAATCAACCCCTGTGATATGGCAGCAGGTGACATACCTATTGGCCTGTTTGCTGCCCAGGATGACAGAACTGCAGTGGGTACCTGTTAACCACCAAGGCCACGGTCTTGGGCCAGCACATCTCCCCCAAGACCGAAGGATGAGCAGGAGGTGCACCACAGTAACCTGTCAGAGTAGCCACATCTTCCCATGCCTCACACCCTGGCACTCACCAGGACTTGGGCTCGCCGAAGTGCAGGTAGTTGATACTGTAGAGGTCCATGTCCTCTGTGTGCCAGGCAAAAGTGGTTTTCCACATGCCAAAGTACAGGTAGGGTGTATTCACGCCCTCGATGATGGTGCCGCACTCACGTTCCACCATATCCAAGATGGTCTTCAGGTTACCAATGTTCCACTGGGCCACATCCTGTGGACAGCAAGTGTGTGGTCAGCAGAGTCCTCCCAGGATACCTGTACCCACCTGCACCCTGAATGCAGTCACCTGGGGTAGATCCCCGGGCTCCAGTTGGTCATCCCAAGAGGCCAAGGGGACCAGGGACATGGGCCCTGCACTCTCACCTGCCACCCCAGCCTTCCTGGAATAGCATGTTGCAGGCAACAGTCTACACACCATCATGTGCCAATGGACAACTATAGCTCGGCAGTGACCTCCACACCGCTAATAACACAGAAGGAGAAAGGTAGTCTCCACGTGAGTGATCCCTTCACAGGCGTGTGAACCCATATCCAAATGACAGCCCTTCCAGAACTTTCCACCAAACAAGATCAGTCAGCTTCAAAGGATATAGGCAAACATGTATGACGCCCCCACCCTGACCTGTGCTCTCATCAAACGCTAGCTGGAGCTAAGGTGGGGCAGGAGCCTCGTGTGCCTGTGCCTGAGACCTCTCCCAGAGCCAGCAGGGTGCATCTCAGCATCTCAATACACGCTGACAGGATGACCAGCAGTGACCACTCCCCTGCCAGGAGGCTGAAGGCCCAAGTATGGAGGGCAGAGGCTGCTGAGGTCACAGTAACATAATGGCAACAGGTCACCAAGCATATAATGGCCTTGTTGCCCTGCCTGCCACCCAGCACAGTGACCATGTGGGACATGTCATGGGCTGCAAGAAAGGGACCCAGGTATAGCCTCATGCGGAGAATTCATGCCATGGCTGGGTCAAAAGTCCTCTGCTCTGGGTCTCAGCTTCCCCATCTGTAACAGATTCTGTGCTACTTCAGGTGAGGCAGGCCAAAGCCACAAGCTTCCAGGGGGCCTGTGGTAGATGTGGCCCAGGGTTGGGCCTTGGCAGCTGAAGCCTATGAGAAGTCGGCACACTGGCTGACAGGAGATGGGGTGTAGGGACATGCCTGTTCGGAACATCTTGCCAGGCTAGCACTGCCCTAGGAGCACAGACAACAAAATGAGACCTGCTAGAGGACAGGGAGCCCAAACCCAAGAGAAGAGAGTGCACAGCACAGATCCGAGACCTGACTGCTTCCTGTAAAGTTGCTTGGCACCTGCAGTGGATAAAGCAGATCAAGACACCAAGACACCCCACACTCCCCCACCAGAGTGCAGAGGCCTTCTCAGGTGGGGTGCAATGCTGGGCAATGTGAACAGGGCACAGCACACTGATGTTCAGGAGGTGGAACAGGGGAGTAAGGAGTTCAAGGTCATCCCTAGCAAATTCAAATCCAACCTGGGCTCCATGAGACCCTGGCTCAGGAAGGAGGAAAAAGAAGCCACCTGCTGTGGGATGGTCTTTCTGTATGCTGTGAATATGTGTTGCTCTCACTGGTTAATAAATAAAGCTACTTTGGCCTACAGAAAGGTAAGATGGAGCCAGGCGGGAAATTGAAGCAGAGATACAGGTGAAGAAGGGTGGAGTTGAGGAAACACCAGCCAGCTGCTAAGAAAGCAAGACTTGTAGAAAATGAGGTAACAAGCCACGAACCATGTGGCAAAGCATAGACAAGAAATAAGGGTTAATTTAAATGTAAGAGCTAGCTAGTAATAAGCCTGAGCCATTGGCCAAACATATTATTATTCTATAATTAATATAAGCCTCTGAATGGTTACTGAGGAACTGGTGGGTGGGAGAGAAACCTCCAGTTACAGTCACCTATAGAAGGGCTTGTGAGACAGCTTCCACCTCAGTCATGGCACAAGGCAGGGACAGCTGCAGCAACAGTTGAGCACACACGCTTGAAAGAAATAAGCCTTCAAGTCAGAAAGACATGGACGAGCTCTAAGCACACATGGTTGCAGGACAGAAGTCATGGGAAAGGCTGTGCCATGACTGCAGTCCTGAGACACTGTGGATAAGGATCAAGAATGGAGGCAGGGAGTGCTTAGCATCACGGCTGGGGCAAGGAGGCGAGAGGACTGTAGGCTCTCAAGCAGGACTCCCTTCCTTTAATTATTTGATTACTTGTGTATGAATGCAGGGCAGTGTCCTCAGGGGCCAGATCCCCGAGCTGGAGTTAGAGTCACCCTGAGGTAGGTACTGGGAATCGAGCCTGAGTCCTCAGGACTAACAGAAGTATTCTAACCACGGAGCTGTCTCCCCAGCCCTCAAGCGAGTTTTCTGCTCCATTTTGCTATAGACTTAAAACTGATCTAAAAAAGAATATGTCTATTTTAAGAACTTTTGTTGCTGGGCGGTGGTGGCACACATCTGTAATCCCAGTACTCAGGAGGCAGAGGCAGTCAGCTCTCTGTAAATTCAAGGCTAGCCTGATCTGCACAGTGAGTTCCAGGACAGCCAGAGCTGTTACACAGAGAAACCTTGTCTTGTTTACAGTTATTTTATTTTGTGTAGGACATGAGGAGTCAGGGGATAACTTCATTCTCTCTACCATGTATGCCCTGGGAATTAAACTCAGGTTGTCAGGCTTGGCAGCTGGGACTCTGCCCCATCTGACCATCTCCTCTCACCTCATCTGTTCTTTTTTATTATTATTTTTAAGATTTATTTATTAGGGGCTGGGGAGATGGCTCAGTGGTTAAGATCATTGCCTGCTCTTCCAAAGGTCATGAGTTCAATTCCCAGCAACCACATGGTGGCTCACAACCATCTGTAATGGGGTCTGGTGCCCTCTTCTGGCCAGCAGGCATACACACAGACAGAATATTGTATACATAATAAATAAATAAATAATTTAAAAAAATAGTCTAACTACAAAATTTGGGGCTGAAGAGATGGCTCAGTGGTTAAGAGCATTGCCTGTTCTTCCAAAGGTTCTGAGTTCAATTCCCGGCAACCACATGGTGGCTCACAACCATCTGTAATGAGGTCTGGTGCCCTCTTCTGGCCTACATACATACAGACAGAATATTGTATACATAATAAATAAATAAATGTTTAAAAAAAAAGATTTATTTATTTATTATATATACAGTGTTCTTTCTGTCTGCAGGCCAGAAGAGGGCACCAGATCTCATGACAGACGGTTGTGAGCCACCATGTGGCTGCTGGGAATTGAACTCAGAACCTCTGGAAGAACAGCCAGTGCTCTTAACCATTGAACCATCTCTCCCCTAGAATTTTCATTTTCTTTTCGTTTTTCGAGACAGGGTTTCTTTGTGTAGCTTTAACTGTCCTGAAACTCACTCTGTAGATCAGGCAGGCTGGCCTTGAATGTACAGAAATCTACCTGCCTCTACCTCCAAGTGCTGGGATTAAAGGCAGTTGCCACCACCATCTGGGTGATTCTTTTGTTTTTAATAAACAAACATAACCAATACTGACCTAGAATTCCCCCGGCATCCAGACCATCCCCTGTGATACAAGCATCTCTCCAGCAGCTGATCTGGGTCAGGGGGCTCTCCTCACTGGCCTGGGTCTGACTGCAGATCGTAGAGCAGCAGACTAAAGACCAAGGCCATTGAGGTCTCAGGAAAGACACAAGGCCAAACTTTGTCTGTGGAACCAGCAACAGGTTCTTAAAATTGCACCGAGAATAGAAGCAAAAAAGAATTATGTGGACTCTACAGAGTCAGGCCACCGCCAGGAAAGAACACAACCAAGCCTGTAGTCCCAGGCACTCAGAAGGCTGAGGCCACAGTGGACTTGTCTCCAAAAAGAAGATACAAAGGTGTGACCATGACACTGTGAGCCAGCTCACCATGAGCAAGGGCCCCACGGATGGTCCCAGTACTGAAAGAAGACTGGACAGACTGACAGCTCACAGAGCAGAGACAGACAGGGTGCAGATGACCTGCTGGTGACGAACTCACACCCCATGTGCATGAAAAGTCTAAGTACAGACTTCTCCACAGAGGCACAGAGAGAACAGTGAGTCCCCGGACACTCAGCATCGTGGAAAAAGGAACCACAATGCAGTGGTGTCTCTCAAACCCAGAGTGGCACCAAGTGCCAGGAAGCAGGAATCAAGAGGCAGCCAGCTCAGCCAGCAGAGGCACCCCAGATATGGACCTCAGAGAAACAAAGGCCTGACCACATGGACATGGACAGCACCCACAGCTGCCTCACCTCCTGGAGCCCAAGCACGCCACAGCCCACATGTCTATCACCTGATGGACAGGGGCATGCTGTGTGGGCCCTCCACACACCAATGCGCAGACCCCGAGGACACTAAGAGAAGACATAAGAGGCCGCAATGTGGGACACTAAAAACAGAAAATGTCCAAACAGAAGTGGACTCCTGGTGTCAGTCTGGGAAGGGATGGGGTGACTGTTCATGAGGCTAGATCTGTTTTCTGGGGTGGCAAGTGAGGGCTCTACAGCGCTGTGGGTGCACTGGAGCCCAATGCACCCTGGGCTTTCAGCAGCTGCAGCTCAGAGCATGCTAGCTGTACGGAGCCAGCCTGCCTTTAGTGACAGTCATAGCCGCTGAGAGGGCTCGTATGAAGGTGCTGCCACCAAGCCTGGTGACCTGAGTTCAGATCTACAACACCACAGACGCGGACACACATGTGCCTGCATGCACACACACACACACAAGAACAGACACACTCACACCACACACAACTCAAAAACAAAACAAACAAATAACCAACACTGAGGAGCAGCTCAGTGGGAGACCCTGCGCCCAGCCAAGAGCACCGGCGCAGAAAGCTGGATGCGACAGTGTGCACCTGTAACCCAGCTCTGGACAGACACAGGGGAGTCCCGACTTGCTAGACAATCTAGTCTAGCAGGTGAGCTCCAGGTTCAGTGAGACCCTGTCCCAGAAACCAAGATGGGGGTGGGGGGGCTGCGGAGATGGCTCAGCACTTAAAAGCACTGGCTGCAGAACCCACACAGAGGCTCTCACCAGCTGCATTCCAGTTCCAGGGGATCAAATACACACACAGGTGAAACACCCACACAAGTGTTAAAAATGAGTAAACTTTAAAAACCCAACAATAAAAAACAAGGTGGAGGAGATAACCCCAGTACTCATGAGGAAAGTTTATTTCCTTACAGTTGAAGCCAGCTTGGTCTACACAGTGAGACCCTGTCACCTAAAACTGCAAGGTAGACAGGGCCAGGGTCTAAGGAAGACATTTGAGATTATTCACGGGTCTCCTATGTGTGCACGCACATACACACAAATCATCAACCAACAGAACCTTCCAGAGGAATGCTGTGAAATACCAGCACCAACGTGCCTCTGCCCTGTGGTAGGAACCACAGTTCCAAGGCATGGGCTCCCAGCTCCACACCTCAGCAGCTTCCACTGAGGTGGCTTAAACCTCAAGGACACAAGACGACAGAGGAGTCAGAAGAGACAGAGCCCAAGTAGTCCCCACCACCACTGAGATCAAATCAGGCTGGAGCCTCCTGTTCAGCACACCAGTCTAGGCCAAAAGCCAGTGCAGTCCTGCCAAATAGTGTCCAAGAACATGGAGGTGGGTGGGAGCCACTGGAATCAGAGTGGTCCACTCTCCTCCCTTCCCCACAGCCCACGTGGTAGCCAAGCCCATGGACACTTACGTCATCATATAGGGAGCCACTGATATCAGCCCCATAGATGGGCGAGACGAAGGTCAGGTTCTTCCAGTACTTTCGTTCCAGGTCGTCAAAGTCCTGATGGCGAGGGGTGCAGTACCTGAGGATAGCACAATAGCTCAGGTTGTGCTCTGGGCAGTCTGAGACCCTTTAGCCACCTCAGAACCAAGGCTGCCTATGGCAAGCAGGGGCACGGAGATTCGGGAACCAGGGGCAGCTGGAGCAGAGAACATGGGGACCTCCACTGACAGCTGGAGCAGAGAACATGGGGACATCTCAGGATGTGCAGAGCAGGAATCATGGGGACCTCCACTGGAGGGCCACCTTCAGGCCACACACTGGGATGAGGGAAGACAGGGATGGGGTGAGGGCCTAGAGCCCAAGTTGGGCCTCCAGGAAGTGGTGAGGAGTGGGAAGATGGCTTGCGCCCACATACTTCTCACTGTTGGCCAGGCGGCGGTATTCGCCCACAGTCATGGCCTTCTTCTGGATGTTGTACTGTGTGAAAAGCCCCGACTGCCCCGTCACCACCTGCTGTATGGGTGCTGGGATGACCACATCATCGATGTCGTCATATGTCTGCCGTGGCTTCCACTCCTTGGGTGGGATGATCTGTGGGGCCAAAAAGGATACGGGTGATGCAGCTCCAAAGGATAGGGGATTCCAGGTCCCCAAAGATCTAAATGCTCCAGACCAGCGCTCACACAAGTACCACACAACCATGACAGTCATGGCAGCCAAGGTGGTAGCCGGGCCCCACTGCAGCCAACACGGGGGTGGGGGGTGGAGGCCTGGGCTCAAGCCAGATCTGAGTCGGGCATGACATGGTGGTTCTAAACAGAGCCAATGCACTCCAGGGTTGGCTCAACAAGGGCCCCCCTGAGACACTCATATACGTGAACCTGTTCTTGGTCACTGCTGCCATGCACGGATGCCCCTGGTTGTGGAGATGGCAGGCAGGGTTGGGGCTCCTGAGGCCTGCTTCGCCAGTGGGCACACAGCAGCACGCTGCAAGGGAGTGCCTGAGACAAGGTCAGAACCAGACAGGGAGCAGATGCTGGAGGCCAGGAACTCCACACAGACGGATATGGCCACAATGCCAGGGGACAAGTGGCTGCTCTTAGGAAACTAGGCACAAGGGATCATCAACCCAGCCCCCAGCACTGAGATAGGGGAATGGCACTTGGAGACACAAACTAGGGCAGAGGCCACACTTGGAGGAGCCAGATGAGGACAAGAAGGTGGCACTATCACTCCAAAGATGGGCAGAGTCAGAACTGTGTCATCCCTTCTTGTGGGGAAGCAGAGGGCACAAGCCTGCGGCTCTCAGAGTTGCTGTGCCAAGCCTCACAGCCTCCCTCTCCATTCTGACCACTGGTACAGGACTGGTGACCCCAAGCTGACAGGCTCAGAAGGCTCGAGTCATCTGCTGTCCCCAGGAACAAGCACAGAGGCAGTCACTCCCATTCCCATGCTGCATGCAGGGAGGGCTGCAGGCTCACGTCTAGGGATGCCTGTGGCTGACACACACTGAGGGCACCCTGCTCTCAGTGGATGGAGACACTGTTTAGAATGCTGCAGCACCCAGGACATCCCCCAGAGAACCAGACAACTCCATGTCCACAGTGGCAGGATGGGGGTGGGCAGAGGGACGACAGGTGAAAGTGGGCACTGGGCAGCAGCCATTCTGACAAGCCTCAGATTCCTGCTGGTCCCCATGGGAAGGAGCCTGACCTCCAGGAGACCCCAAGCCAGCACCCCCAGGGCTCTCACACTCAGTGCTTACCAAGTGGCCAGGAAGTCCTGGCCTAAACACCCAACACATACTAAGAGCACTCCCCACCTTGGGTAAGTCTGGCTCTCACTGGCTATAGCAAGTACCATCTCAGCTCCTGAGGCCCACAGATCCCACGGAGGTGGTGGGGACAGCTGTGTGGCCAGCAGAGCCCACAGCACAAACATGTGTACACATGCACACACACACTCACTTACGGACACACATACACATGTTCTTACACACATATACACCACTCATATACACTCATTCTCTCTCTCTCTCTCTCTCTCTCTCTCTCTCTCTCTCTCTCTCTCAGTTTTTCAAGATAGGATTTCTCTGTGTGTGTAACCTTGGCTGTCCTGGAACCTACTTTCTAGACTAGGCTGGCCTCAAACTCACAGAGATTCACCTGTCTCTGCCTCCCAAGTGCTGGGATGAAAGACATATGCCACCAGTGCCTGGCTTCAGACACACACACACACACACACACACACACACACACACTGACACTGATGAACCCCTGGCCTCAGCTTGTATATGGCACCAGTGGTTCCTGGAGTCCATCTGCCCCTCAGAAGGCAGGAGGTGTGTATGCTGTGCTGTGCTGTACATATATGCCCAGGGCTCAAATGGACTTGGTCTCCCCAAGTTTCTCTCCTATGGGGTAACATAGATCTCCAAGGTCACAGGGAACCTCAGCCACAACCGAGTTTGATGGCTCCATTCAGACAGGCAGGTAAAACAGTGGAATGCAAAGATGAGCAGACTGACAAGGTACAAGGACAAGGTGAAGGCAGAGGAGGCCAAAAACTCCACCCAGGGAGCACAGGCAGTCCTCCACGGCCGTAGATGAGCACGCATGTGCACACACAAACTCCACCCAGGGAGCGCAGGCAGTCCTCCACGGCCGTAGATGAGCACGTGCACGTGCACACTCTCTCAATGCTAGAAATGCCAGAAGGAAAGCTGCAGTTGCACAAGGCTATGGTGGGAGGTGGCAGATCAAAGACGCCACGGTCTCATTTGCAGGGACTTTAGCAGAAGCAAAGAGGACAGTCTAAGATGGCCATGCACAAGAGCCTTTCTGGTGGAAAGGGTATTGCAGGCAGGGAAGGGGGACCAAGGTAGGCCATGATCACCCAATCTGTGATCATGGAGGAAAAGAAAAGGGTAGAAACCTGCAGCTCAACCAGAAGAACTGTCTCAAGAGTCTCAAGTTGGCAGGCTCCAGCTGAGGCTGGGAACAGGAGTGTCTGCTGAGAAATGGTGTCCTCCACCCACAGGTAAGTCTATTTCTCCATTAAAGCTGTATATATTTTTACAATCTGTCTGCATTCGTTTACGCCGTTACAGACGCACATCTGCAGGTGGCACATGCACAGGCGTGGACACACATGTGTGGCTAGAGAGACCATCACTGAGTAAGGACATTTACTCTGCAAACATGGGGACCTGAGTTCAAATCCCTAGGACTCATGTAAAGGATTGCACACCTGTGACCTCAGCACAGGGAGAGAGGTGGGGACAGCTCCCTGACGGCCAGCCTAGTCAGACTGGTGAGTTTCCAGTTCAGTGGGGCTCTGTCCCCAGGCAGAACAGAATAATGAAAAAGGAAGACACCCAGTACTCTGCTCTGACTGCACATGCACATACTACATGGGTGCACACATGTAGATATGCACATGGGCGTGCACGTGCAGGCACAGAGAGGCAGGGCAGGAAGAAGGCATTAGCCCATTCTACTTGCCTGTTTGAGCACAATTGGAGGGAACAATGTGAGTGTGTCACTGAGTGCTTCAAGGTACAGCAAGGATGAGAGCCACCAGGTCATCACTGAGAAACTGAACTTCGGGAGGGGACAGTACTTGGCAGCTCTAGAGCTGGGGTGGCATGCCTGCCGCGGAGGGCACTGCTTCCCTGAGAAAGGTTTGAGCCTTTTCACTTTTTTTTTTAAACTGGCTTATTTATCTTGTGTGTGCACGCATGTGGAAGTCAAGGGACCACTCACAGAAGTCACTTTTCCTCCTCGTGTGTGGATCCTGGGGGACTAAGCTCAGGCCTCAGGTTTGGTGGCACAGTTACCTATACAACCCCTTAGTCTGCCTGGGAATTGAGTTCTATTGCCCCCTGACACCTGTGCGATTTCTGGACCGACTCTGGCACTCCAAAGTGCTAGCTGGACTCCAGAGAACCATGGTGGCCCACCAGCAACTGCTCCAGGTGTCACCTGGGCAAAGCCAGGTGTGAGGCACTGGCCTGCCCTCCTAGCACCTGGGAGGGTCAGTGAGCCCTGGGCAGTCTCAGACGGAGTCCTGAGGCAGGCCTGCCATTTACCTTGCACATGAGGGGCCCAGGTGGACCCCAGTGCTAAGAAAAGCAGAAATGAAGTGAGAAACAGAGAGCTGGCTCAGCGTTCAGAGCCCAAGCGCCCCATTCAGGAGGCTCCCGACTGCTGTGGGTCCACGCCCCCTTCTGGCACCAACAGGCACCACACACATGCGCGCACCCCCCCCACACACACACAGTTTGTTTTGTTTTTTTCAATACAGGATTTCTCTGTGTTGCCCTGGTTGTCCTGGAACTTGCTCTGTAGACCAGGCTGGCCTTGAACTCACAGAGATCCACCTGCCTCTGCCTTCTACATGCTGGGATTAAAGCCATGTGCCACATTGCCCAACCATTTTTTTAAAAAAAGAAAAAAAAAGATGCCAGGGTGATCCCAACACCTTTCTGTAGGTGTCAAGCATACTCTGCTATGCAAGGCCTTATGCCAACACACACACACGCCACACACACACCCCACACACATACACCCCACACACACCACACACACACACACATACACCATACACATACATACACACCACACACATATACCACACACACATATACCACACACACACCACACACACACACCTCACACACCCCACACACACATACACCACACACACACACACATACACACACACACACACCTCTCTCTACTCGTTCTGGATTACTGCCACTTAATCAGGAATTCGAGGTGTCTACGGGCACCACTGTTTCTAGGCATCAGGTCCCCTCCTACCCTTAGCCTGGCGTAGCACCCAGGCAAGGCTGCTCCCTGGGGCTAGGGACACAAGTGCCCTGATTTGGCCCAGGCCCCCTCACAGAACCGGGGCCTCTGTGAGTCTGAGGAGGAAGCTGGAGCAGCACGACAAAGCAGCCCGGGAGTGGCATGACCCACCTTGGCCAGGCCTGCGCGGTGGGCACCTTGCGACTCGATGTAGGCCACGTATCTGTTGAAGTCCCTGAACTCGTCCATGGTGGGGCGGAAGGTCATGATTTTGCAGCTGGGGTTCTGGGCACTGTGGTCCTCAGACCCCATGGCTGCTCCACTGCAGAACCACACCTGTGAGAGGAGAAGAGCGGTCAGCACAGCCCTGCCATTACCAAAGCCCACCAACACCACCACGATGCTCCCCTCGAGACAACAAAAACACCCCCTGCAGGAGGGCAACAGCAGGCAGCTGGGTACGCCAGCAAGCCACAAGACTCCATACTCACACCAGCCCGAGGGCCTAAGTGGCACCGGCTGACTAAATGTACAGGTACCTCCCTCCAGAGCTGACAGGTACCAAATGCATCCTCTAATCAGAGGCTACCAGAACCCAGCACTGTTGTCAGCAGGGACCTTCTTCCCATGTGGACATTGTGGCTTTGTGGTCACCGCAACCACCCAGGAGCCCTGTGAACACATGAGAGCACCCTGGGATAGTTGAGAGTGTCTCTCTTGTGCACAGTGCCTAAGTGTTTGCAGCCTGGAACCCATCAAGCTATTCAAGAAGGCCTGGGCCAGGAGGGCAAACCAACCCATCTGAGTCAGCTCAAGCCATGGCCAGCACTGATCTACCCATGTGCCAGCACAGAAGGGATGTCAGATGCTGGGGCATCCATGCTGGAGGGAGGCAGCACAGCTGGTCTTCTCTGTCAGTGACCTCACTGGGAGACCACATAGCCTGCGGCCCAGACTCCCACGCACTTCCCAGGATGGCCACAAGGTGGCAGCACATGCCCAGGAATAGAGTGCACAGAATTAAGGGGTTGGTGACCAAGCGCTCAAAAGCCACTGCCCTGATGGGCTCTGGAGAGTACTGAAGCTGCATCACCTGGGTGTCCTGGGACTCTACTGTCTATGTCTACTCAACACAGTCCTCAGAGACACAGTACCATGAGACAGGACATGGTTTAGCAAGAGGGGCCTTCGGACCCTGTCCTCCAGGGCACAAGGGACGGGCCCTAGCACAGACTAGAAGCTATCCTGCTGGAGATCTAATGCACCCCAGGTCTCAGAGCCACCACTGTCCCCACCAGCCCTACACCAGATGCTGAGTCCAGGATCCACATGTCCACCTGACAGCCCTCCCACATGCAGAGGTGAGAGCCGGGGAGATGGTGTAGAAGGAACACCACGTCCTCGGGAACCTCGGAGCCTAGGAGTCAGCAGTCTCAGTGTTCAAGAGAGCAGGTGGGAGGAGCATGGAGCCCAGCTACTGAGCTCCTGAGGGCAGTCCACCTCGGCCGGCCGTGTTTAATGGTTGTGCAGTGTGCCTCTGGAGGACATGAGGACACCACGGTTCCTCCTCCATGGCTCCCGGCCCACAGGGTGGCCCCAGGGTCTGACTCCCCACACTCAGCGCACCCACCCACCATCCCCCTCTCGCACGTGTCTCCTCAGGGAGCATGTCCACCTTGGCTGGGGCAGCACCCAGCCATCCTCCCTCCTGCCTGACTCTTGCTCAAGGCCTCTATGGCCAGCAAAGCCCAGGCTGTCATCGTCACCAGGGCCCTCCCTGTATGGGCACTGGGATGGACGTGGGACTTGAGGGCTGTGGGACCAGTGCAGAGCATCCTGGTAGTGCAGCACACAGAATGAAGGTGGGAGGCAGGGCGGGGTCACAGCAGGCAGTGCTGTGCAAACGTGTGTGCAGGAGTCAGTGGTCTCCTTCCACCATGTGTGACCTGGGGACTGAACTCAGGGTACGAGGCTTAGTAGCAGGTACATTTCCCTGCCAAGGTCCCAGTTGCACAGAATCAGCAGGGCCCAGGGCTACGGTTGTTCCCTCGGGCTATAGTGAAAGCACAACCGAGGTGTGGACCAGGACTAGGGGTACAGGATGTCACTCCTAGAGGAAGCCAATCCTGCGGCTAGGACAGTACACAAAGAAAAGGACTCTTAAGATGGGAGCAGGGACAAAACCAGGGATCAGCCAGAGCTGGGCAGTGTCATCACAAGGGAGGCAGGGAGCCGAGGGCTCAAATGCCACCAGAAGCTGGACCAACTGGCAAGTGGAGTGCCCAGGGTCCCCAGAAGAGCCAGCCATTGCTGAACAGCTCACTTGCTACCACAGACACACCACGGACTAGGGCATCATCTAAGTATCCCCATACGGGGCAGTGGCCACGCCTATAGTTACAAGCTACAAAAGCTAGTGGTGGTGCACACAGAGATGGGGATCCCAAGACCCGGAACACAAATATGTTCATCACTCATGATGGGTCCAGCACAATCAGTGCTCCAGGTGCCACTTGTCCTGGGAAGTCTGGGCTAGGCAGAGCTAGTAACCTAGTAACCTAGTAGCCTAGAGCAGGGAGCTGTGGTTAGTGAGCTTGGAACCTACTAGCCTCAGAGTCCGGGGTGGGGTGGGGGATGGTGATAGATGGACACCCAGCCACAACATGCCAGCTGCCAAACAGCAAGTGCCCTGGCTCCACCTAGTGGCAACAGCTCCTTACTGCCCACAAAGCGCCCTCTCCACCTCCTGCCAGTTAAACCAGAGCTCAGAGGAAGTGGTCCACAGAGAGCCACCCCACCCTACAGAAGTTGCTCCCCATTATCCAGGGACATGTGTCGAGCGAGACCAGAGCTTCAGGCCAGGCTGTGTCCTGTCACCTGTCACCTGCGCCCACCGGCCCCACTTTACTCGAGCCCAGGACAGAGTCCCTCAGGCAGGACTAAAGAGATATGGACTGGGCTCTAAGGACCCTGAGAGTGTGGTGACAGCCCCTGGGCACACAGCAACAGGTAGGGACCATGAGGCCAGGATAGCACAGACTCCATCCCTGGTCATCACCCTTCGTAAGCACAAAGGAGCACAGGAGGTGGGCGTGTTCCTCCCAGTGGCACTGAAGGCGCCGGTGCCCCAGGTGTTGGGGGTGGGGTACCTTTCCAACCCCTCTTGCTCTTGAAGGTCCCTGCTGCTGGAGGTCTAGCCACTTGGTGACACCCCAAACTCTCTGGTGATTCCCAGAGGCTCCACACCCTAAGTTCAGCCCCCAGCAGGGAGATTGCCATGACTTCCTGAGCTGGTTCAGGAGTGTGGCTAGATTCATGTAGGGGTGCCCCACAACTCCAGAAGTCACACAACAGGAGAAAGTGGGTTTCCTGATAGGTTCCAGCTGCTCAGGGCCCAGGCAAGGTGAGAACTGTCTGCCCCACTTCTCTCGCTCCCCCAGGTGTGCCACCCCTGAGCACAAGGAGCCCACATGCTGGGACAGAAGGACCTCCCTGGCAGTCCTGCCCCCTTTATCTGAGTGAACAGCGGGGGTGGGGTGGGAACAAGAGGGTCATTCTTACCAAAGTACCACAGCGCAAAGCCACTGCCCCCACAAACCAGAGTCCAACGTAAGTCTACGGAGTGACATCATGCTCCACACAGCCGCCAGCACAGATGACAGGGAAGAGCGGCCCAGCCATACACTGGACAGCACACAGTCCTGAACAAGACTGAGACTCAAACACACAGTGTGGAGGGGCCTCAAGATCAGCTCCAGTGAGAGACCCAGAAACCAAAGCCACTCCCGGTGACTAGTTTTACATCCACTTGATACAAGCTTGAGTCACTGGAGAGCAGGGAGCCTCAATTAAAATGACTAGCTGTAGACAAGTGATTGATAGGGAAGACCCAGCCCACTGTAGGAGGTGCCATCCCTGGTCGGCTAGTCCTGGGTTCTATAAGAAAGCAGGCTGAGCAAGCCTGAGGAGCAAGCCAGTGAGCATGGCCTCTGCCCCAGCTCCTGCCTCCAGGTTCCTGTCCTGACTTCCTTCGATAATGGACTGTTAGCGGGAAGTGTGAGCCAAAGAAACCCTTCCCTCGCCAACTCACTGTGGTCACGGTGTTTCATCACAGCTAAGACATCACTCAGTGTGGGACTCTGCAACAGGGAATTTCCAAAACGGGCCAATCCACAAGGGAAGAGGATTTTTGGGTGCTCGAGGCTGGGGAGAGGGGATGGATGTTCTGGAACTTGACAGCAGTGATGGCGCCACCACTCTGAATAGACTGCAAACCACTCTTGTCGGTGGGCCCAAGAGGATGCTCCTCACAGGAGCCCACAGGACCTGCCAAGCCCTGTCTGTCCCAAGCACCATCACTAGGCAAAGGCCTCACTGTGGAGCCCTTAGTACTAAAAGAAGCCTGAGTCACTGCTGGACAGGTGCACGGACTCCAACCACAGTCGCTCCCTTAGCATGGCCCAATCTCAGAACCCATGGACCCACACTTAGGCGGCCCACCTGGGGCCTGGCTGCTGCACTTACCTGGGGGTTCCAGGAGGTTCCAGGGGGCTGAGGTGGCCAAATGACTTGGGCTCAAGGAAGCCGTCAGGGTTGCTTTTTGTCAGGCACCTCCAGTGACAGCAGTGTCCTGCAAGGGACAGATAAAAGCTGCTGACTGCACTGCATGGGCCGTCCCGCCAGTCCTGTCCTTCATACCACACACAGAGTTGATTTAAGTGGCTTCAGACCAAATTTTAAAATCAAATATCAAATTTCTATAATACAAATATTTATGGCCTTGAAGCAGGTGTTTAGACAAGGAGATTAAGAGAAAACGCACACTGGGCTCTGAACTCGAAGGTTGTCATGATGAAGAGACAATCTGGGAAACACCTGAGAGCCACAGGTCTAAGATCAGCATGCAGAACGTACAGCGTCTTCACCACTCAACAAGACAAGGGCCAGTGTCCAGACTACACAAAGGCTCACCATTTGTGCTGACTAGTCTCCTGTCAACCTGGCGCAAGCTAGAGTCCTCAAAGGAAGGAGCCTCAACTGATAAAATGCCTCCATAAAATTCAGCTGTAAAGCATTTTCTTGGTGTGGGAAGTCCTTCTGTCTATGTTTTGCTTTTATTGGTTAATGAATAAAGAAGCTGGCTTGGCCTGTGATAGGGAAGAGTAGAGCTAGGCGGGGAAAACTAAACTGAATGCTGAGGGAAAGAAGGCAGAGCAAAGAGAAGCCATGGAGCTGCTGCTGTAGACAGATATGTTGGAACCTTGCCGGTAGGCCACGAATCTTTTGGTAAAATATAAAATACTGGAAATGGGTTAATTCTAGATGTAAAAGCTAGCTAGCAGTAAGCTTGAGTGATTGGCTAAGCAGTGATTTAAATAATACAGTTTCTGTGTGATAATTTCGGGAGTCTGGGTAGCTGGAAAATGAACAAGCAGTCTCCTGCAACATTTTCGCATTTAGTGATCAGTGGGGGGGGGCAGTCCATTGTGGGTGTCTGATTCCCAGCACCCCCACAGTGGCTCACAACCATCTGGAACTCCTGTTCCTAGGAATCTGACACTCCAGGGCCCCAGGCACATACATATACAGGCAGACAAAATACCCGTATATAGGTAATACATAGTGGTAATACAATTATAAACACAATAAAATAAAAATTAAAAAATAAGGCCAATAAAGCCATTGGCTGGGGGGAGGGAACAACTCTGGTTTGTCACTTGGCCTAACTGTGAGGGGCAAACATTGCCTAGAGCAATGAGATTGTCCTAGCTCCTTCTAGTGTCCCCTAGAAAGAAATTTTCCCAGCAGGTCTGCAGCTATGACTCTACCACAGTACAGAGGCCCTGACTCCATCCATTAGGGTGCTCACATCTGCCCAGCCCAAGCCAATCACCAGAGAGAAAGGGCCAAACAGAAAGTTGCCACCTCGGTAGGTAGCAGCCAATCATGACAAGAGTCCTAGAGCCCACACCTCCCTGATTCCAAACTCCTTCCTAAAGTTCCCAAGATGGCAACCCAGGCAGGATGGACTGCCACAGAAGGAGGTTCCCTGAGTGGCTGGAGCCAGGCTCTGCACTCCCAGGGAGCTTTGGGTGCATCAGGAGAGGTTGTCTGTCCTCAGTATCCTTGGGATGTCACTAGAGTCAGGCCACAGCCCTGGGGCTCTCCATGGAGCCCCTGCTAAAGTGATCACACAGAAGCCAGCAAAAGGGTGACACTAGGAATTCCTCTGCAGACTTCCTTCCTGGTACCCACTCACCATCAGGACAAGTCAACACAGAGATAACCAAGGACAGGCCACAGAGGCTCACTGAAGCCTCCAGTGTGATGTGACAAAGAACTCAGGCACCCAGCACCTGCTCCAAGGCAGCAGGAGTGGGAGGGCAGGAGGCATGGCAGGAGACGTGGAGGCTGGCCCAGGGCATGGCAAGGATATTATCCAATAGGGGGACAAGGCAGGGCTGGCCCACAGTGCCAGGAAGACAGGAGAAAGCTGCACTCTGCACCCTGCCTGCCCCAGGCAGCAGGACCCTTAGCCACACCATTCCAACGTGTCATCACTGGAGACAGACGTCAGATGTGCCTGGAGATCCAGGCACAGGCAGGGCCTGGAAGGTGGGCAGTGAGGACTCCCAGAGTTCCAAGGCTCAGGGCTTAAAGCCAAGAGAGGATGGATGTGAGGCCAGAGCCTCAGACAACAGGAACAGTTGGGTCACTGGCTTCTGCCAAAGGTAAAGCCCTGGGACACAGTGATGCCAAGGGGCTTCTCCACCTTCCACAGAAGAACTCAAGAACACAAATCCAAGGCCCCGAGTCCCCAACAGCACACCCACTACCTTCCAGAAGGATACAAGCCATCTGTCCGCCCCTCACCCCACCCACCTTGAATTCTGATGTTTCTGCTGTGGTCTATAATAAGCATCTGCTACCTGGGCACAATGAGAAATGCACAAGCCACTGAAGAGTCACACAGAGGCTTGAGGAGACAGGCAACCAGGCAGACTATGAGACAGATGTCTTAGCGGAGTGAATGAAGGTGAGCTGCTGTGAGTGTGCGTGTCGTCACATGGGTGTGGCGGGCAGAGGACACCTGCAGATGTTGGTCCCTGCCATCACACAGCCAGGCTCAGCAGCAAGCACTTTACCCACTGAGCTCTCTTGCTGACCCAGAATTGCCTTTTCTCTTTAAATCAATCACACTGGGTCCCAGAAATTGTTATAGCAACAGAAGATAGACTGTAAGTGGACTGGGGCGTAGCTCGGATGATGCATGCCTGTCATCCCAGCTCTCAAGGGCTGAGGCAGGGGATTTATGAGTTTGAGGCCAGCCTGAGCTACATAACCAGACCCTGTCTCAAAAAACAGCAAAAGTGAAATTAAAAAATTTTTTAAACTATCAGGCATATGCATACCTTTAATCTCAGCACTCAGAAAGATGCAGAAGGATCGCTGTGAGTTCAAGCTCAGTCTGAGCCAGGGCTATACCCTGAGACCTTGTCTTTAAAAAAAGAAAAAAGAAAAAACAGAAAGCAAGAACAAAAGAAAGAGAGAGAAAATTAAAGTAAATAAAAGTTGGAGGACTGGCAAGGGGCTCAGTGCTAACTAAACACTGCTCTTCCAGATGTGCCTCTGGTCCCAGCACCCATGTCAGCTGTCTCTCAGTCACCTGGAGCTCCAGTTCCAGGGAACCTGACACCTCTCCGCTCTCCTCAGGCACTACACACACACACACACACACACACACACACACTTTAATTAGATATTAAAATTTAAAAATTATAAAGTAAATAAATCAATAAAAGGTGAGTGTGAGATGGTTCAGAAAGTAAAGGCGCTTGCTGCCAAGTCTGGCACCCTGATTGGTGGGAGGGGAGACCAACTCCTGCAAGCTGTCCCCTGAGTTCTCCACATACACTGGGGAGGGCCACCCTTGGGCACACACACAGGGTAAGTAAAGAAATAAAGAAATGCAATTTTTAAGAACTAAATGAAAGTTGAAGGAAAGGTCAAAACTCCCCTAGAAAATGAGTGAACAGCAAAAACCAACAGGAAGCCGGCTTTACTCTGACAAGGTGCTGGCCAGCCAAGGGGTCCCTGTAGTCCAGACTGCAGGAGCTGTGGATAAGAGCAGCTCACCCTGCTGGCGAGGTGGGGAACTGCACATGGACGTTGGGGGAGGACAGGACCCCAGGAGGCCCTTGCAGCAGGCACGTGGGGAGCTGCACCCGCTGTGCTGTGGCAGGGTAGCGCTGCAGACACTGGGGACACAGGCTAGGCAGAGGACACAGCTGCTGACAGCAGAGGCAGGAAGTTCAGGAGCCTGAGCCTGTGATCCATGGAGAGAGAGAGCTGTAGGGCTCTGGGCGGGGCAGTGACACCTGCACCATGCGCCTTCCCAACAGACCCAACACTGGACCTTGTTCACCTTCCACATTCCAACGGCATCAGCAAGCAGAAACCATGAAGGCAGGAGGAGGCCCAAGAAATGACTTTATTTCAAGGGAATAGCATGGTCAACACAGGGGACATGACCACAGAACTTGCACAAAAGCCAGAACTGTGAGCCCCAAGACAAACACAGAAAACACAACTCCTCCGGGGGTTCTCAGTGCATAGAGTCAAACCTATTGTCAGCAGAGAAAGTTTGTCAAAGGAGCTGACAACTGAGGGACTCTCCATGGGAGGTGCAGGCCCTGGTGTGGACTCAGCACTGCTGCTAGGAAGAGGGCAAGAGGAGGAGATGGGCAAGTAGATAGATGGGTGGACGGATGGGTGGATGGACGGATGGGTGGACGGATGGGTGAGTGGACGGATGGGTGGATGGATGGGTGGGTGGGTGAATGGACAGATGGACGGATGGACGGACAGGCGGGTGGGTGGGTGGGTGGATGGGCAAGCATGGGTGAGTGGATGGGTGAGTGGGTAAATGGGTGAGAAGGTGAGGGGTAGAAAGGTGGGTGGGTAGACAAAAACGTGGATGGAAGGACAGAAAAGTGAATAGATAAAATGTCCTTTTAGGGCCAGGCAGGGCGTGGGCACACCTTTAATCCCAGTACTTGGGAGGTAGAGGCAGGCGGATCTCTGTGAGGCCAGCCTGGTCTACAGAGCAAGTTCCAGGAGAGAGAAACCTGTCTTAGAAAAAAAAATGTTCACCTAGATTAGCTACACAACAGACATGTTCCTCAGTTTGGAACTAGGTACAAGCCTGTACTTGCGGTGTTCACGGTGCCCTTGCAATGCTGATGAGGCGCGAGAAGCAAGCACAGCCCTCAGACAGACAGCACAAGGGAGCTGCTGGAAGGACTACCCAGGAATCCACCACAGGGTAGCAGGTGAGCTGTGCTAAGAGCAACATGGCTCGGGAGCCCAGCACACTGGGATTGTGGAGGAGAGGAGGTCACCAGAGACCCAGGGAGAAGAACCTGTGCCGCACCTCCAAAGGGAAGGCAGAGGACAGGTGGGCACAGAACAGCGGCAGAAGAAGCCTTCTCTCTGCACGGCTTTCCAGAGTGGCGCCACAGTGAGGCCTCACAGCTCTACTCTGGCTCAACAAGGGTCATAAAGGACAGAGTGAACCCAGAGGGCCACACCAGGGCCTTCTGCAGCTACACTACAAGGACACAGTGGCAT